GGCATTGTTGACAGCAAGGTAGTGGACAATGTCCCTATTAATAACTAGAAATCATCAAACGTCCCTCATCCTCCAATTTTTTCCCGGGGCTCCACCATATATATATATATATATATATATTGTAACTCTACGCATTATGAAAAATCATTTAATGCTTCCTAATATGGAAGTGAAAGAGGGACAAGATTCTGAAAATAACTCCTCCTTTGAAATATAAATCTAATTATGATTCAATGGTATGTTTTCAGCCTTGAAGTCTCAAAATAGAATTTCTACACCTATTCTTTACCAAAGACATTTAATGAAAACGACAGAGTTTTAATGTTGTTATTAATACAAAAGTTTTCATAATTTCTGTATTACATCCCCCCCCCCCCCAAAAAAAAAATTTTGTTAAGCCAAAATAAAAAAATTTAGAATACTTTAAATTTCTCAAATTTTAGGTTGTCACGACTGTTCCTTTTCCCTACCACAAATAACATTTTTTCAATTAGGTGTTTTTTTTTTACAATGAAAAACATAAAAAACATGATAATGCAATTTATCTGTTTAGTAAACTAAACAGAAAGAAAAATGAAACATGTTTATATAACTATTCTACTAAAATTTTCAAAAATTTTTCACACAAAAATATACACAATTTTTTTTGCGAACGAACTGGACAACAAGTGTCATTTAATCAGAATTTAAGATTCTGTGTGGTTCTTTACTTGATGAAAGTCTGTATTCCCCGTTAAAATGGAGGAAAACCGAATTTCATGAAGCAGAGGGAAATCGAGAGATCCAGATTGGACACATACGAAAATAGTTTATTATATTTTTCTCACCTTGTTGAGAAAAAAAAGTACAACTTTCATCGCCCTCACATCCAAATGATGCTGAGGTAAACATCTCTACACGCGATTCGGATCTCTCAAAAATATAGGGTTTACTTCTTCCTTTGAAGAAAGTGAAAAAAAAAATTTTCCTTTGGACACTATTCATGATTTAATTTCAACATTTGTGGGCTGTGATATTTCTTAAGCTTTGATACGTGCACTATTTCAAAAAAAAAATTGTTTTTACTTACATTTCCTTTTATTATTATTATTATTTATTTTTTTTTTTGTAATCAGTTTCTTGGTCATTCTTTCTTTTTCCTATTTTTCCTTTTCTTTCTATTTTTGTTACCCCTTACATTATTTTTTTCAATGTTTACTTTTACTGAAACATCTTTAACATTTATTTTTTCGATGTTTACTTTTACTGAAACATCTTTTTTTTTTTCACCATTTTTAACCTTAACATTTTGAGAATTCTGCTGTCTAATGTGCGAAGATAAGTTGTCACTTTCAGAATTAGCAGAGATGATCAGTCTCGTACCAAATTGAGTAACAACTGGCCCGACACAATCAATAAACAAACAAAAATCTTAGCAAGCTTGCAACCCTACTAAAGCATATGGTAAATCAGTATCAAGTATAAAAAACTCAGCTGAGTTAACAATTTCGCCTATCTTAAAAGGGGAAACTCACAAATTTTGTTAAGTGTTAAATGTCCTTCTGTTTGGGTAACATTTAAGTTTTCACATTTTTTTTAATAGGAATATTTAGTTTTGACCAAGTCCGAAAAAGTAAAAATTTTACAATTTTTTTTTTTTTTTTTTTTTTTTTTTTTTTTTTTTTTTTTTTTTTTTTTTTTTTTTTTTTTTTNTTTTTTTTTCAAAAATTTTAGTTCGGATATTTTTTAAAGTAATTTTTGTGCAGAGATCTTAATTTGTAATTTAATTTGTCACAATCGGGTGTTAGGAAATTCTAATATTTTTATTTCTATTTTATTCTCATTTTTTATTTTTTCGTCGATATTAACCTGATAATGTATGCATCCATTACCTAGATCTATCTTCGAATCATTCAAAATTTTTGGACGTTTACTTCAACCACATTTATTTCCTTCAAAAACATTTTAAATGCACTATAAATACAATATTATATTATAATTTAAAAAAAAAAGCAATATAAACACTAAAAATGCAATCTAATCATTAATAATATACTATTGAATTATTCATAATAATAAGTTTAGAGCAAGACTCATCTCTAATGTCAATAAATTATGAACAACCTACTCTCCAACGTCGACCTTCATCAATTTCGTTGAAGAGAAGAAGAAAAAATTTATCATTATTTAAAAAAAAAAGCAATATAAATACTAGAAATGCACTCCAACAATGAACAAGATACTATTGATTAAAATTCATAATAAACAGTTTTACATCACTACTCATTATGAAGAGAAAAAAAAGTATCACTCGATTTCAATACTTTTCCTTCATTTTTGTGAAGAGCAAAAGAAAAAAATATATAATTTTTTTTTTTTTTTTTTTGTTTCAAGCGCGCACTTAACTTCGTAACTTTTCATGAACATTCATGATATTTAGTCGCACACAAAATTTTTGTTTTCACTTTTTCACAAACTTGAGCACTAAGGAATTGTAGGGTCAACTCCATGGATGGGACACACATCAACTGGTTTCAGGGGACAATCTCGATCCAACATCAGCATTCCACTAGCGAGGAGGTACATGTAGTTAATGATGATATGAGGAATCCTTCTTTTCCTTCTACGCTTTTTCACTGCCGATGAAGGAAAAAAAATTTCCCCAGGTGGGTGATGAGATGAGGTTTTCCGAATCCACAGCCAGTCTCTAAAGAACTGCGTAAGTTTCCTCCGCAAGCAACTATCCTGGCGTCTTATAAAAACAGGGCTACATCCTTGTTATCATTGTTGTATTCAGCTTTAATAATTCAGTCATAAGCCATAATAAGTTCTCAAAAGGTTTATAGGCTGGTTCTCAAAAGGTTTATAGGCTCAAAGGGTAGGCTGGTGGTTATAACAGTTCACATCCCCACTCCACAAGGGAGGGGGTGTGGACAAAACTCCAGATGGTTCCGGCAGATGTTTTATGGAACACGTTAATCAGCAAGAGACATGCGAAAACAATCGCTCCCGCATTAAATACTATCAGAGAATGATGTAAACAGGCTCAAGTCGTGCATACCTTTGTAACTCTACGCATTATGGAAAATCATTTAATGCTTCCTAATATGGAAGTGAAAGAGGGACAAGATTCTGAAAATAACTCCTCCTTTGAAATATAAGTCTAATTATGATTCAATGGTATGTTTTCAGCCTTGAACTCCCAAAATAGAATTTCTACACCTATTCTTTACCAAAGACATTTAATGAAAACGAAAGAGTTTTAATGTTGTTATTAATACAATATATATATATATACAGTGAAATCTCCTGTTACGGACACTCCTGCAAAACGGACACCTCTCAATACGGACATATTTTTAATTCCCCGGAAATCTTCTATGAATAAACCATTATGTACATTCTCCGCAAAGCGGACACTCCCGTAACCGGACGCGGACAGTCATTTTGGCCCTGAAACGTTATTTTTTATCTCTTCAAACTGGACACTACTTTTTCTAAATTAAAGAAAAAAACTATTTCTGCTATAAATTGCAAGGAAAAAATACAACTTTTCGCCATTTTTGAAACAGGTTTATTTTTTGCCTTATCCTTAACTAAAAATATTGTTAAGCTGTTTCACTACTAAATCAATTTTTCTCTTGTCCCTTTTCTATATCCCTGTAAAAAAAGGAGAAAAAATGATACTGAACATATATATATATAGTTTAGGTCACCTTCACCCTAA